CTTTCTCCGCGCTGGCTGTTGTCGCCCTGTTGATGACGTCAGTGACGCGGTTTAATCGGGCGCGGCTTAGTCGAGTGCGGTTTTGACGGGTCACACGACTTCGCGGTACTGCATTGTTTTAAATGTAAAAATAATAAAAATATATTGAAGACAAAAAAAAGAATTGAAGCAACGGTTTCGGATTAGCAAAACGTATCGCGTTTAAACCCTCTTCCCAAATTGGAAACGTCCCATCCTGATCATTTTGGAAGGCTTCCAAAATCCAGACGGCTGGTTTGAGTTCGAAGCATGCTCTGCTGAGCTCAGAATATTTGAAAACGTTTCCCTCCCCAAACGGAGCCTTTTAGATTTGAAATATAAACATGTTGCGCTTCGGTTGGTAAAGGCGAGGACGGTACCCCAATGGCATTATGACCCACTTGTAATATCTTTGCAGGGATAGATCATTTTTCTTAGGCTCCCGAGGCTGTGGCTGTTGTAATTATTCATGACATGGAAGCCTGCAGTTGTCAGGTGTGTGTTACACAAAGGTTGCACAATTATACCATCTCCTTGCCAACCGCTAGGGGGCGGTTTTACAGTCTTTTCTTAACTTGGCGCTGCTGTTAAATTGTAGCAGGAGGAGAACACGGGTGATTTGACTTTCAGAACTGAATGCTCCTGAATCTACTCATTGTCCCCAATGAAAAACTGAGTCGGCTTAAGGTGTGAGTGTGGATGTGTGTTTAATGAATGATACAATGCAAACAGTTGGCTCCATGTGAAGAGAGCTGATCTGTACAATTCCTAATAAGTCCTTGTAGTCTTAGCTGTTATGTTGCTGTCCAGGGTGCTGAACCTGATTTTTTTTAAAAAAAAACAACGTTCTTTTATTTTTATTTTGTTACATAATTAAAAATTCTTTTATGAACAAAGCGTTGTCTGGATTTCCCCTTTAACATTTTTACATATACATAATTCATTTTGCATTATATCTCCATTTCCAATTTTCCCCGTATTCCTTCTCATATTTTCCAACTTGTCATTTTTATTATATACGCAAACAATATCATTTTTCCCTTCCCTTTAAAGATAAACCAAATTCATCCTTCCCTTTCCATCTATTTTCTGCAAGTCACCTGCGTCTTCAAATTTAGGGTTTTTTAAAAAATATAGTAAGCATTTAACATAATTGCTTTGCACACTTAAAGATATTGAACATCCTAATAAGATACATACGATTGCCATGTTTAAAATGTTTCATTTCATTCTGCTAATTTCATTTCATTCTACTAATCTCTAATTCCTAGATTTTCTTTTCTCTTTTTCTTCCTTTTAGATGTCTTGTATCTTTTCTTCTGAATTTCTTCTATCACACTTCAGCTGAACCTGAATTTTTGTTATAGCATTATGTCAGGCCTGCAGTCATATTCATTTTAGGCTCTTTGGCCTGCCACACTATTATTTTACTACAGAAATACAATGCATGCCTTCTGATAGAGAGTTATAACCAGCGTATCCCTAGACTTCTGGGTAGACTGAGTTCAACTGGAACTGGGTTAATTGTCTTCACTATTGGGAACGGACCTAGAAATTTTGTAGCCTTTTGAGAAAAGAAGCTAATGATGAGTCACTTCTCTGCATATCTTTTGCAAAGGAAATTCTGGAGAGAGTTCCTGAGATCCATTGGGACACATTATATATCGCATTTCTCAAAACTTCTCAAGATGTCACACAAACACACACACACACAAGCACCTCATAGGATAAGTCTTTGACTTGCAACTGTTTGTTTAGTGAACATTTGAATTTATGATTGGAGTGCAACGTTTAGTTTTAAGTAGGTCTTTTGAGATGGGGAGATGGGAAAGCATTCACAAATGCACTGGCCAACGATTGCATTAGTTGAGGGGCAAGATGTACTTCAATATGTGATCATTGACAATCATCACCAACAGGAGATCTTCTTCTTCTTCTTCTCCACCTCTTCCTCCTCCTCCTCTTCTTCTTCTGTTTCTTCTTCTACCTCCTCTTCCTCCTCTATTTATGACAGTTGCAATGTGCCAGGGTTACGTGATCCTCTTTTGCCATCTCCTCCTCCTCCTCCTCCTCTTCCTCCTCTTCTGCTTCTTCTTCCCGTGCTCCTGCTCCTATTCAGGGTTGAGCTGTGGGATCCTTGGTGGAGTTTGGTGGTTTCAATGTTATCTAGTTTGGTAATCAAACATCTGCAAGAAAGCCACCAAGTTCAGACAACAGTAAGGACCTCGCAATTGTCAATATCTCCTGGCATATTCTTTACCTGGAGCCAAGACTTGATCAGGAGTAAGGTGGCTTCCTCTTTCTGGGGGAATCAAGGTTTTGTTTGCCAATGCTTTGATCAGTGGTTCGAATCCCTAGCGCCGCGTAACAGAGCGAGCTCCCCCCAACCTAGCAGTTCGAAAGCACATTAAAAAAATGCAAGTAGAAAAATAGGGAACCACCGTTGGTGGGAAGGGAACAGTGTTCTGTGCACCTTCGGCATTGAGTCATGCCGGCCACATGACCACGGAGACGTCTTCGTACAGCGCTGGCTCTTTGGCTTTGAAGCGGAGATGAGCACGGCCCCCTAGAGTCAGGAACGAGTAGCACGTATGTGCGAGGGGAATCTTTACCTTTATCTTTAAGAACTTTGTGCTGTACCACCAACTTTGAGTCTTAAGAGGTCCAAGTTTCAACTCTTGAGAGCTCCAGGTGGTCTGGAGACGATCCTTGTTGGAAACTGGTGGTCATCAGTTGGCAGAGGGCTCTGAGTTGAAACCAAAGGTTGTCTCGAAACAAGTTTCTCGGACAACTTTCTGAAGGTGACTCTGTTTTATTCTTTCCCTGCCCCGCAGAGAGCATTCGGTGCCCTGTGCCACAGTACCCATCTGTACGGCAGGAGGCTGGTGCTGGAATGGGCGGATTCAGAGGAAACCGTGGAGTCCTTGAGAAGGAAAACAGCAGAACATTTTCACGGTACCTGATCTATTCTTCTGTTTTGAATTGTTTCAAAACAATTCTTTTTCTCCTCCTCCTCCTCCTCCTCCTCCTCTTTCTCCCTCCTCCTTCCTCCTTTTGGGCATTTGAGGGGAAAAAAGGATGCCCTCTTCCGCCTTCTCCTGCTTTTTCTTCTCCTCTCCCCCTCCTTTTCTTTCTCTTCTTCCTCTTCTCCTTTCCCTCTTTTTTCTTCTCCTTCCTCCTTCTCCTCTTCTCCTCCTCCTCCTCCTACACTTCTACTTCTCCTCCTCCTTCTCCTTCCTCCTCCCCATCTCCCTCCTCCTCCACTTCATTTTCTTCCTCTTCTTCTGCTTTGCTTCTTCCCCTTCCTCCTTCTCCTCTTCTTCATCTCATCCTCCTTCTTTCTCCTCCCCCTCTCTCTCCTCCTCCTCTGCTTCTGCTTCTTCCTCTTCCTTCTTCTCTCCTCCTCCTCCTCCTCCTCCTCCTCCTTTTTTTCCTCCTCCTCCACCACTTCCTCCTCCTCCTCCACCACCACCACCACCACCACCTCCTCCTCCTCTTTTTCTCCTCCTCCTCCACTTCTCCTCCTCCTCCTTCCTCCTCCCTCTCCTCCTCCTCTTCTTCTGCTTCTGTTTCTTCCCCTTCCTCCTTCTTCTCCTCTGCTTCTTCTTCTCTTCCTCCTCCTTCTCCTTCCTCCTCCTCCTCTTCATCTTCTTCCGCTTCTGTTTCTTCCCCTTCCTCCTCCTCTTCTTCTCCTCCTCCTCCTCCTCCTCCTCCTCCTTCTCCTTCCCCTTCTCCTTCCTCTCCTCCTTCTTTTCAACCATTGCAGAAATATCTGCATTTCTCTCCCTCTCTTCCCCCTCCTTCCAGCGAAATGGACAACTTTGGCTTAGAACTCTGCCCCTGCCCAGCCAACCTCTCTCTTTCCCCCCCACCCCCCGCCCCCTGCCTTTGTGTTGATTAACCAAACTTAGCCCCACTGCTTGGTCTCCACTTCAGGCAGCCAAGTGCCTTGAACCCTTCCCTTGTTCAAAGGAACAGCACGGATGCCGGGGGTGGGGGGGAGAAAAGAACCTCTCCCCTCGCCTCGGAATACGTTCGGCCACAGAGAACAACTAATGGCCAGAGAGAGAGAGAGCCTCCTCTTTCCACAAAGTCTTGTTTGGAAGAACTGACTGCGTGTCTCTTCGCTTCCCCCACCCCCACCCGTCCATTTCCCCTTTGTTAACCCCGCAACCTGCTCCCCACTTTCAAACATTTGGGGCATCCCCCACCTCTCCAGCCCAGAAAGCGTTCTTTGCTGTTATTCTATTTGGAAGCCAGGAGGAGAAAAAGAGAGAGAGAGGGAAGAAGCCGTCTCCGGCTGTGTGTTATTCAAAGCACGGAGTACTTCAAACAGCATGCCCACCGTAGCAGTGGCCTTTCAAGTTTGATTCCGTGGCTGCGGTGGCCTGGGAAACCCATCGGCCAGAGCATAATAGTAGCAGTGGTATCTTTTCTCTCTTTTTTTTTTAAAGAAATCTTTTGTTTGACGTTCTTCTGCGAAGGAGGGAAATGGGTTTTGTATTGGCTTTGCCTTCTGCTTCCTCCCTCTTTTTCCCTTTGCGCTGATTCCTACAGAATTCGCAATTTAATGAGCTTATATGCCGCCCAATCTTGGAGGACTCCAGGCGGCTTACAAATACGAAAATAAAATAAAATTCCACACAGGGGAGAGAACATACATAGTTTAAAACGCACAACATACATTTGGCTTTAACTGGGGGTTGAACCTGATTTAAAAATCAGCATCCCCAGGCCTGTCGAAACAGCCAGGTCTTGGTGGCTTTTTGGAAGGCCGCAAGGGTGGGAAGAGTCCAGATCTCTGCAGGCAGATCGTTCCACAGACCCGGAACAGCTACAGAGAAGGCTCTCCCCTGAGTGGTCGCCAGCCAGCATTGTCCG